GTAGAGAATGAGAAAAAATATACATATTTATCAAGCCCTCACAAACAATAATCAGCAGCATAAAATAATGAGGATTTACAAGTTTATGCAAACTAAATGACGTGAAAGAACAGTGGTACCTGGTTGAAAAGGTTCCGGGCATATTCTGAAGAACTCAGGGAAGATGAAGAAACATTTTTCAGATTAATGACAAAATGAACACGAATCATGAATAAAAGGGAAAATGAACACTTTCAACACAAAGTCACTCAGTTTTCAAACTCTATGCAGTAACAGCTAGATTGCTACTTCTAATATGGTATGAAGTGAATACATAAGATAGAGAGGAAACTGTCCAACACAGCAAGATTTATTAAGGATTCAAGGGAAGGCTTCAGGCAGGACAGCTCAGCAGTTACTGTTTTTTACTTGGCATCTTTGCACAATTTTCCTTAGATAAGAACTTACAAGTGCAGTGGCTTTGATGGCTGAAATTAATTTCCTAGCTTGCAGAAAGGAGTCACCGGTGCCAAAAACCCTGAGTGACCTGTTACACCTTCGCAGCTGATGGCAGGTTGCCACTTGCCATGAGAGCAAAATGGTGCTGGAGTGTGAAACTGCACAAATCAATCCTTTTATATGGTGACCTCATACAAAGGAGTAAGCTGTCATTACAGGAAGAAAAATTGCAGTAGAAGAATGAATCCTGTGTTTAATAGAACGTGCTCTTTTAAAGAAACGTTCTCTGCTGACTGTTTGAAAATGCTTCTCTGTTCCTACATCCCATGTTTGTTCCTTTTTGGCATCCAGGGCTAGCTGCTCTGGCTCCACACACAGTCTCACCATTGTTGGTGTAAAAGGCCTCCCCTAAAGAGAAAATGCCATGAGAAAGACCCTTCCTGTATTCTTGCCTGAACAACTCTGCAGTTGCCTTCAAATATCTGATCAAAACCGCTTCCCTCCTTTCCTTTTGTCTTCAAGTTGCATTTCTTCACTGCTATCAATGAAAGCCTAATTTATGTAATAAATCTCTAAAGTATTCTGAAATTCTGAATTTAATAACTGTGCCCACATAATTATGATGCACAATGAGCTGCCTCACAATACTTGCGGTCTTTAGCTTTCTGCCTTCTTGTGTCCCCTTTCACACAACTAGGACCGGTGGCTGGTCAACAGGAGAAGAAAAATTAAGCTATTGGACAGTAGCACAAATAATCAAAGTTCTTCAATGATTGTTGCACCACTTAAGCAGCAAGCACTGGGCATACAACTAGAACACTTGAAGTGCTGTGGACAATGGTTGCAGACAGACAGCAATACGTCAGCAGGTTCAGAAGTAGCATTTGAGGATAAAATTCAGGTAAGACCATCAGTTGCAATTGTGCTTTTAAATAAAGACTGGCACTGAACTGTTTTGAGCAGAATTGAGCAGCAACATCTTCAAGCAATAACAACCTCCTTTACCAAGTGCAGCCACTTATGTTCACATAGTACTAGCATATTCAAAGATAAAACAAAAATTCCACCAGAAACATCTAATTCTCTCTGAAAGTAGTTATTTTGGGTAAAAGTAAATGACTCTGTAGCCAGACTGGAGTATCTTCACCAAAGCAGCTTCCAACTTTGTTTGAACATTCTTTAACATAGAAAAGGGCATTTGCAGATCTTATGGCTCTGAGAGAGCTGCTGCATAAAAGAATGAACTAGGCTTTAACATTCATGCAGCAATAAATGTACAATTAGATCAATATCACCAAATTCAGAAGAAAGCATGAGATCACACATGGTTTAGAAAGAACACCTAACAGAACACAATATCAGGCATAAAAGAGCTCTCTATTCCCTAGCCAACCTTAAGGAGTTTTTTACAGCATTTTGTTTTGATAGTTGACTTCAACTGAGTATTTCCACTTCCTTTTATTGTCAAGGGCAGAGAAGAAACAGGAAGTAGTTTTCCACACTTCAGCAAAAGAAAATAAAATATTTTAGAAGAGAAAATCCTGACTGGTGCTAGGAATCTCAGAAATGCACATAGTCATACTTACTGTTTTCCTCTTCTATTTGCCTGATTTAATTGAAACTGTTCTACTCAAAGAGAACACAAAGGCCTCAGTCCCACCATGCACATGGGGATAAATTTATTAACAAGTCCCAGCAAAGTCTCCTAAGAGTAGGACAAGTCTATCACTACATAAAACCAAAACTGCAAGAACAAAAGAATGGTTGAGTTCCAATGAAAATCATTAATCACATTTCTGTAGACAATACAGCATAAATCATGCTTAAAAGAATAGTGAATTAGTTTCAAACGGGTTATTTTCAGAAATCCAGGATAAAATAGCCATTCATTACAGTATGGTAACTTGATACTCAGTAGCGATAAGTATATAAAACTGTTTTCTTCCTAAGTTAACCTCCAGAGTTGAAAGTTTAACAGCCAAATTACATTTCAATTAATGTGACCATTAGAATGACCTAAATTGTTGCATAGCATTATCCATTCTGTGCGTGCACGTGGCAATGTTTCAAGGGCATGTTATACATTAACGCTTAACTACTGGATTCAGACAATTTGCTTTCCCTTGGTGCTTGTCAGGAGTACAAAACACCGGTAGTTTTCTTAATGTGCACACTCCTGTGTCTGGTCTTTCTCCAAAGCTTGGAAGGCCATCAAGGCAGTTTTCCTTCTTTTTACTCTAGACTAAAAAAGTCTAAGTTATCTGCTATGCTGCTATTTAGTGAAAGAGCACAGTTTCCTGTGTTTCAAAATAATTGGAATTTTTCACCGGTGTGTCCCAGTTGTATCCCCGTGGAATGTTTCCCTGTGACTGTGGCAGAATAACAAGAATGCTGCCTTTCTAACAGAAGGAATAAGGCATGAAATGTGGGCAGCTTCAGACAGGGGAGAACTGGCCACAACACCCAACTGCAACACAAACACTGTGCAGTAGGGCATATTTTGATAACAGCTTCTATTACTTACATCTTCCTTCAGCATGTAATTCAGACATATCCTTAACAGGCAGCCCATGCTTTGTCCCAGTGAAGTTCAGCAGCACCACTCAAATTCTTCTGGCTGGACGAAAGTAGTATGAATCTGGCCAATTTGGGTGTTCTGATCTGGTGTAACATCCCTTACTGACTGAATTTTGGTCTCCTAATGCAAAAGGCTCCTTAAAAAATTCTTGCTCAGTGGAGAACCTAAGCAGATTCTGAGAACACATCTGACCCTTTTGGGTAGCTGATCCCAAGAAAAACACACAAAACTGTTCAAGTACTTGGCTGAATCATGGCACAAACACAAAATACCTATGCTTAAAAACTACATGTAAACAGACAAATAGATGAAACAGTTTCCTAGCATTCCAAGATTCTGTTTAGAAGCTTCACAAAGCATTTAAAGAGTCAACAATACACGTTGATTTTTATCTTATAAAAATCTATATTAATGGAAGTTTGAATGCATATTCTCAGGAGAACTGTTGAAAAAATACTGTAGCTTCTTTTCCAAAGACAGTTTACCTATTATGGTGTGAGGAACAAAGCAGCAAAAAAGAACAAAGGGGGGAAATCCTCATTTTATCTGCTGTCCTTTTTCAGAGAAGCGCTGCAGAAGGCTGCCTTATGCTATACTCTTTGATGCTGCCATAACCTTGCTCTCCCAGCTCACGAGTCTGAAGTTTACAAAGGCTGGTGTCCTAATAATATGCAACACATCAACAATAGCCAGTCTTCTTAAGGATATTTTTCTTTAATGGTTAGCAACAAAAATCAAACCATGTCCTTCCCCCAAATATGAAACTATTTAGTGGCTCTCAATCTCTGGTAACAGGAGCAAGCACAGATTGCACAATAAATAAACTGTTTTGAATATTTAACTGCTTTTCTCACAGACTTCTCAATTATTTTACTGAAATGCTGATTAGTGAAATCAGGATGAGAGAAAAGACTATGAGAAGAGTGTGCAGCTGAAACTTTCAGCAACACCTGCAACAGAAATCTCTTTTCTACATTTTTTTCTCATTCTGTTTGGGGAATGCACCCAGTACATCTCCCTACTGCAGTTCTGGCAATGCCAACAGGCTGCAAGCTTAGCTACTCACTTGGGAATTTTCTCAATGTGAAAAACCCCTGAAGGGAAAGCTGCTAGGGCGTGCTGTGAGAGACGGTAATGAAGGCAAGCAAGCCAGGATCCCTTCACAGCTCAGACAAACAAGCAATAGCAGATCTTGATCTCAGTTTACCTTTGCATGCTAGGCTAAGGGATGCCAGTTCAGGCACAGATTTATGTGCACAGCACATCTCCCTGATTAGCAGTATCTCTGAGAGGGCCAGGGAGCCAGCTGGGGCTGGTAACAGCGTCACACATTCAATTTTAATTGACTACCGCGTGCTTGTCAGATACCTCAGTGCTGCCTTACTTCTGTTTTAACTTGTGCCAAAAGCTCAACTGGTCCCACTGACAGTAGGGAATAAGCAAGCAAGAAGAACAGATCAACTGCAGGAACTGAACAAAGTCTGTGCTCCTTTTGGAACTGCATTCTAGGTACAACCTGCATTAAATTTCAAGATCACAGATCAGCTATCACAGTTCAAGCTAATCTCTTAACCCACAATTATACATTAAAGCAGGCTTTGATTTAGAATAATTTCATTTAATTTTCATTTTCTGTGTCTATATTTAGAGTCCAAACTTTTCTCTCTGAAAATTCTCAGGAAATGCTTCAGTGGGATCAAGACTATACTATTAACACCTACTGATACAGTGTTTAATGGTATAGAATCAATTAAAATACTCAAAATAAACAAAAAAAAATAGTCATCCAAATGAGTGACAACAGTATTCTCTGCAGTGATCCTTTCTATATCAGTAACAAATGTATAAAGTAAAAGTTTGACTGAAATTGCTCCAGACATGCACACATAATTTCTTTTATAACTCTTCTAAAAACACATAAATAATTTTGATGATAAATTGCAGACAGCATCACAGTTGAAAACTAGGTAAATATAAATTTTACCTCTGCTTTTATTTTATTGTCTCCAAAACAGAGGTGCTGTAAGTAGGCTGCAGCATTGGACTGTACTGACGGAAATTGATGCTGTAACATCTGGATAACTTCTGGAAGCTCTGGATCTCGCCATCCAAACTCTCTGTGAGAAAACAAATAAGAAAGACTCAAAAAGAATTCTTCTAGTAGTGGATGGATATATATAGCAACAGTTTGGCCAACTAAGATGAAAAACGTATCTAAGTTTTACTTTCCACTATTTTTAAAGTGCACATTTAATCATATATGAAAGGATTTTCTGCTCTAAATAGTACTAGTATGAAAAAAGTTAAATAAATCATAGCTAGAGTAAATAACTTCACGGAATTGTCTCTACATGCTAAAGTTCCTTAAATAAAACATCATATAAGAACAGAAAGATCCACACCCTTATACAGCCTCTGTTAAAATTCAAATACAGAGTACTAGAATCATAATTCTGAATAGTTTGCTAAGAAATTTTGTCAGGAAGTCTTCTATTTACTGCAATCTTTATTTTATAAAAATTACTATCTCATATAATTAGTGATTACCTATTTTGTCTTTTGATTTATTGTTTTCAGATATAGTTCAGGCTTAATGATAAAAATTTATATGAAACATTGTATAATACATACAATTACACAATTTTACATGTATTACAATTATACCATATACAATACATGGTTATGCATCTGATTACTTTTAAATCTTCATTAGTAATACTCAGTCTAAAGCAGATGATAGGCAAATACCAACAACTCAGCATATGCACTATCTTTTATTGCTATGAAGCATGACACACCATTAGCATTAAATGAAACAATTGATTCCAAGTGTGGTGAACAAACCCCAGCAGGTATTCTGCTGTTTCCAGAACTCAAAATCAATGTGTCACTTAGGTGATTTTTTCCACTCTGTGTCTACAGGTAAAAGCAGCCATCAAAATGGCTTTTGCCTTTGTGTCCCATAATCCACGCAGCCACTTTGCATGAGACAGCTGAATTCCTATGTGCTTTAGAATCACAGAATCACCAAGGTTGGAAAAGACCTCCAAGATCACTCAGTCTTACCATCCAACTACTGCCAATATTTCCCCACTATTTCATGTCCCTCAGTACAACATCTAAATGTTTCTTGAACATCTCCATGGACAGTGGCTCAGACGCCTCCCTGAGCAGCTTGTTCCAGAGCTGAGAAGAAATTTTTCCTAATATCCAACCTGAATCCCCCCTGGCACAACTTGAGGCCATTCCCTCTTGTCCCTAATGCTAGTCATGCAGGAGAAGAGGCCAATCCCCACCTGGCCACAACCTCAATTTACAAAGTCAGAGAGAGTGGTAAGGTCCCCCCTGAGCCTCCTTTTCTCCAGAATGAACAATCACAGCTCCCTCAGCCATTCCTCATAATGTTTGTGCTCCAGACCCCTCACCAGCTTCGTTGCCCATCTTTGGATATGTTGCAGTGCCTCAATGTCTTTCTTGTAGTGAGGACCCCAAAACAGAATACAGTACTCGAGGTATGACCTCACCAGAGCTGTGTACAGGGGGATGATTACCTCTCTCCATGCTCCTGCTGGCAGCCCTATTTCTGATACAAGCCAAGCTGCAATTGACCTTCTTGGTACCTGGGCACACTGCTTTTGTATCATACAAATATTTTTCATCATCTTCCATCTAGTGTTATAATACAAGGTAATACAGGAATATGATTCTTAGGTCTTAGTAACATTGGTCCCATTTGCCCTTTAAGATGGAATGGGAGATATGACGCCACCTCAACCTCAGCATTCAGCTGGGGTCTACATAGGGCACTTGGGAACCCTAATCTCTTGCATCTTCATGACAGGCACACAAGATCCACACTGGGGTATAATTCAGAGTCAGCAGCATTGAATTCCCATGTTGTTTATTTCTATATAATGGAGCCACCATGAAGATTACATACCCTGTTTAGGTATGCAGGAATTAGGTATGTAAAATTAGGGGAAAGGGTCAAGTCCCATAAACTTGTGAAAATGACTGCAGGTTCTTCACTGCAATTACTATAATCACTTGAGGGGTTCACTGTAAAAAAACAAAAACAAAAAAACAACAATACAAGAACTATTGCAAAGTCTGTCTCTTTGAAAAATATATTTGTTATCATTAGTTTCCTTCCTGAATGATGAGGATTCTGCTGGACTGAGGCCAAGTGCACGTCACTGGGGGAACTGACCTATCTGAATAAAGCTTACAGTAGGCAGCTTCACAGGCTGTCTCAAGTAAACTCAGGCATCTCACTCTTCAAATATTACAGCCCTCTGAGACATTTCATTTTACAGTGACAATGGATTGCTATGAAAAAGAGGTATTGTCTGTTCTTTTCTCACACAGGATGTTTGCTAGACTGAGAGTTATTATTATTCATATCTCTGTAAAAAGATCTAGAATACAAGTAGGAGATGTAGAAAAATACACATAGAATTTTATCTACTATTTCTGTTCTGACAAAATTAATGTCAAGATGTGAATATTAAATTTCTGTTTAAAATTTAATATATTTTAATACAATTAATATTATATTAATAATATTGATATTAATATACATTTATATTTTATATTAACTTTATAATAATATTATATATTATAATTTAATGCAATAATAATAATATATTTTTAAAATTAAAAAAACCAACAACAAAACAAAAAAAACACAGAGATGTAATGCAATGCATTATGTGTGGGCATTTCCAGTGAACCCTTGGACAACACAGACTGTTGGGAAACTTCTAAAGGAGACCTGTTACATAGATTCAGAAAGATCTTGACACCAAACTGGTATTTTCAAAGTGCAGAACACTGAAAAAGGTATCAGGGAAGCACAGAAACCTTGGTAGCTAATAGTAGGATAAAGATAATAGCTATGTAATGTAAATAATAATATAATAATAATGTAATATAAAAAGGATTATCTCCTTGAGGTGAACAACTTGTCCCAGTTCTCATAGAAATACTGCCTCACAATGCTGTGAGACTTGAGCTGCCTTCACCGAGGGGGTTTAGAAACTGAGCTGGTGCTTGGAAGGAGCAGGCAGCCCATCAGCTTACAGGCTGAGTATCGAATACTTCATTGGATGGCTCCTCTTCATTGCCTACAGAGCACTGACTGGCACTAGCTAGTATCTAACTCTTAATGAGACCTGAACTTGCAGCTGAAGACGATGCAACCAGCAATAGCAAATACCACATTTTCCGCACATACTAACTTAACATGTCTCTATTTATAGGTTAAGTGATTCTCCAGTTACACACTTTTTTTCTGTTTAACAACGGATAGAACAAACCCATAAACAAAACATAAATTGACAGAGGTTAGTGACAGAACCAATGTTACTTGATGTGTTGGCTTCCTCTTATGCATACTTTTCACAGTTAGGATGATACCTAAGCAGTAACATGTTAACAAGTTCTTCAACCACGTCAGTCTATATATATGGCTCTCAACCAAAGATATCATTCAGAAATTATTTTTACATAAAAATAAAACATGAAAAAAACAAACCACCCTGATGAGAAATTCATTATTCCAGCTCATCTTCCAATTATTCTTGTTTAGATTCCTAGATCTTAAGAGAGGGTGTTGGCATTTTAGGAGGAAGTTTTTCACACAGAGGTGGTGATGCACTGGAACAGGTTGCCCAAGGAGGCTGTGGATGCCCCATCCCTGGAGGCATTCAAGGCCAGGCTGGATGTGGCTCTGGGCAGCCTGGTCTGCTGGTTGGCGACCCTGCACATAGCAGGGGGTTGAAACTAGATGATCATTGCGGTCCTTTTCAACCCAGGCCATTCTACGATTCTATGTTATGATTCTATTAGACAAAAACAGCTCATAAGACAAGACAAGGAGTGGGAACATTCAAAAGCTTTTGTTTTAAACTAAGTAACTATACTTTGAAATGCTGGAACTTCTAACAACAAATTGTCTCCAAAAACGACAGAAGAGGCAATGAAGGGCAAAAGGAAAAGGTCCCTTAATCATAGGCCCAATTAACTCATGTAATGAACCTGCAGATTTTACACGGTATGTATGCACATATGAAAACAAGGCTGTGCCTACTTTTTTCCTCTGGTCTTGTCTGGTCAGCAGACAATCTGATGATAAATAAACATTTCTCTGAATGTTTGCGTGCACAATGGACTTGTGTGCACAGGTGGAAAATTAATTCAGAAAAGAAACTTTTAACACAGAACACGATCATATTATCAGTTATAGGAAAGAGAATGAAGAAAGCAGAAAAGAAGTTAAAAAAATTTAGCTCCAGTATGCATTGTCATTTCAGGCAGATGGTCTCTTAAGATTATTATATTTTAAGTAGTTTCTAAATGAATGATGGTAGCTATTTAAAACAAACAAAGGTTTCTGTCAACAGTTAAGGGCGCTTGAATAATTGAAGTATTATAGCAGCCTTCAGGGCAAGGAAGAGTAACTTCTTTTCAATTGTTTTCTTTTTAACATTCTGAGTAGGAAAAAGGTGAACTAGATATGGGGAGTTTTTAGAAAAGCAAGTCTGCAGCTCTAATAACAAAATTTACTTTGAAAAAGAAACATATATATTTGTAAATTCTCCTTAACTACATAAAGTTAGGAAGGCTACTTAAAGTCAATCGGACAGAGGCCTTGAGAAGGAAGGACTAGAATTTCTCAAAGACAAAGGTAAAAAAATACCTGGAATGTTTTGCATAGTTGCGAGGAGCTTCCAGGCCATAGCCTCACACATACCCAAAGCTCATTTAGTTCGGAGAGCAGAACTAAACTAAGAGACAAACTGCTAGGAATAAGAAAGTAGACTGTGGAAGTCAAAAGTTAGAACACGCTAGGTTATACCACAGAAAGGTAAGTAAAATTAAATAGCAAAATATTCTTTACTGACTACAATGAAAAGCAATAGTACAGTCAGTACCTGATGATTAGAGTCAGATTAAAGGAAGGGAAAAAGAAAATGAAGATCAGATCCATCTCCATTTCTGTGAAATATCTGATACTGTGCCACACAGAAACTAGTTCAATTGGCAACAAATGAGAATCCAACCCCTAGTAAAATTTAGCAGAATTATGGAAAATTTGAAACTGCAGGGAGTAGCC